GTCATAAGGAAGGATAGTCCTGGAAATCACTAAATTAATTTCAAGAAGGATGAGTATCACCAATAAAATAGTAGAATAAAGTGATAGAAATTGCATTCTTTTGTGGACGTAGGCTTATTTTTGTCCTACTCCATTGTGGGACTCATTCCCAGCCCTCATGGGGGTTATCTTCATGGCAGCTGTAAAAAATGAACGACTCCTTCCAGTGTTGCAGAGGTCGTTTCAGTTCCCTTTTAGCAAAGCGAAAAGAGCGTACGAAATGCACAAGGCCATGGGATAAAGAAGAGAAAAAAGATGGCGGAAAAGACTGCTACAGAGGCTAGGCTGCTCAAGACGAGTATTCTTTCTCCCATCACTGTTGCAACTTTACATTTTATATAATGGACTGGAAAGGCACTAAATCTCCGCAACGTCTCCATTGTTTCAGTCCGCAATTTTTTTTAAAAAAAATTCGAAATCTTCCACCGATTACCTCTGAACTGAAAACAACATGGCTGCGAATTTTTCCCTCCACAGGTATCACCATTTTTTACCCATATTATTATTTCTTTTTATCCTTTTTTGGTGAATCTATTTCGATTTTTCTTTCTCAATCTCTTGTTCCCTTTTTTTCTTTTTCTAGTTTTGTTACTCAATTTTTTGTCGTTCTGTAGCTTGAAATTTTGGCTGGCCAGCTTTCCACAAAAGGGACAAATTCAATCTGCAAGGAGCGTTAGTCGTAGAAGGTAAATAATAAAATTGGTAGTGGGTTTTTTTCCCAAAACGTTTACTTGACTTTTTATTTGTAACTCTGTCAGGATTGGTCAGAATGATCAAAATGAGATACCTTCCAATCTATCCTCGCTTAATGTTCTTTTTATCAACTTCAACATGAAAGCTAAATACGTCCAGGACGGAAAATATGCATTGTTACATACAGAACGAGAACGACAAAAGCGTCATATAAGGGTTAAAGTCAAGTTAATACACCCACAACTACCTCGCTGCAAAACCTTAAACCACTATTCACTCCAACAAAACTATCTTGCGTCACTTCACATCAACGTCTAGGATAAAAACGTCCGGTATAACTCCACCGCTTCATACACCTCCATCAACCTTTAACAACAAATAACTCTAATTCTCTACTCAAAAATCCCTTAAACACGTAAAACAACTTCACCTACCCCTAATACAATGACAACCAAGAATACACTCCCACAGCGTCTTGTAGTTAGACCCTTGCCTAGCTCCTGTGCAACCTCCTCCCGGGCCTTCTTGTCAATTCATTTCAGGGACGTATCCGAGACAAACGATCGGGAGACTCAAAAACTCGCTCGGACAGTGTGACCCAAAACGCATAGACCGCGCGAAATAATTAGGCCTAGGGACTGGGACTGGTTTGGAGCGTGACCGAACAAAAAAGTCTTCGCTTCCCTACCCACTCAGTCTACGGATACGATGAACAGCGCTTAAGAAGATAATTTGCTTTCTTTTAGATAATCGTGATCATTCTCACTCACTTTCTTTGTCAACTGTAGGCGAACCCTCCTGGAGTTGATTCCTAGGGACAATATCCAAGACAGAAAGAAAATTAAAATTTCGTCCTCGCTTGTTTACGTCCTCAATAAAACGTAAAATTAGGGAACTTCACGTCCTAGTTATGCAAAAACGGCAAAAAAATAGCACATGAACTTATCTTAATGAGATTCCACCCTTTTATTTATGACGTCAAGACAAAAGGCTATAACGAAATCGGCATTAATGTATTCCTAGGGAAAGTAATGGGACTCTTCACAAAAAAGGTTAATTTCATCCCTTCTATACTACTGATGTCACCACTTACCTACTCGAAAGAGGAAGAGGACTATAAAGATGCAAAAAAGAATCAGGCCAATGTCCAGTTATCTTTGACAGTATAAGCTTAGACAATAAGGGATTTTTTTATTTGGCCGAAAAGAGAATTTTTTTATCGCGGGGCAAACGAAAGGAATCCTGAAAGGGTCTTACCCATGTCGCTTGCCCGCTCGCAGATTCAGCGATATAATAATGCTTTTTCCAAGTTCAATTCTGTCTGACACAGACAAAAAACCATCTATAATTTAAACTCCTTTAATCATCTTTAATTTCAGCTAAAAAAAATCAGGTCGTAAGGTTAGAGAGACAGACCTGCTAGAGGACATTGATTCAAAAGAAATTTAAAAAGCTGGACTCCAAATATGGCTAAATTAAAGAATACTCGTCTCTCATTTGCATGTCATTTAATGACAAAAGGGCTTATAATATACAAATACTTTACTCTTTACAACGCACTGACACAAAAAGAAGTGGTGGTGTGTCACCATAGTAGTTAGCTAAAAAATAGTTTCAAATACAATTAAAATCGTCTCTTAAACTAAAGAGTTCACTCACTTCGTTGGCCACGTTTTTACTCGTGCACGGTTGGTGTCACGTGACGGATTCATCATATCGTGCTCCTTCTTTGTAATTTGCTGGCGTTCCCAACCAGTACCCAATACTAACTATGGTTCCACAGCAGCCAAATTTCAAAATAATGGTATTTCGAACGTTATAATGCCTAGGCTCTTAACCAATCAAATCAGAATTTGCATTACATAGCAATGATAGGTGCCAATAGTCCATAATACAAAAATTCTGATTTAGTCTGAACAACCAATCAACAAAATTGAATTCTCGTAAAACAAACGCATCTTCATCTCTGTTTATGCACTTGCTGTGTCATCGCCATCACTTTCGTCCTCCAAAAAGTCCCATTCAAGAGCCTGAAAGACAATGATTCCTGTTTTAAACGATTTACGCTCTATTATCGGCACTAAATGTCAGGTGGCAATGTCATTACATTATCAAACACAAAGATTAAAAGCTGATGATGGTAAGAAAAAAGATCTCCGAGGACCTTAGTTTAGCTTATACATTTCTCAGTTAGTACGCCTACTGTGATTGGCCAATGTTGCTGGTCCTATTCTACTGTACGGGCCGCTAAACTTTAAGGACCTTCCAAGCGCCCAATAGTCAATTTCCGAGTTGCTTCCAACCTCTCTTTCAAAGTGAGGCTAAGTGCGCAGCCATTGACAAGAAAACAACTTTTCATTCTCATGCAAATGAAACTCATTATAACCAGAAAGAAAGGTTTTCTACTTAGCCTCGCTTTGAAAGTGAGGGTTTTCGGAACTCAGAAATAGCCTATTAACCTGGATCTCGTTTTTTGCACCAGGGCCAAAGTCAACGAAAAAAATAAAAGTCGGTCCACACGTAACTCAAAGTATTTAAGGTGATTCCCTGGTTTTGCACTGCGCATCTCTTACTGCGCATAACAAGATGGCCTCCGTAAAAAAGAGCATGTGAAGTAACATTATTAAAATGAAGTTGACCGAAGAGAAATGCTATTGCAATTTTTGCTTGCGCTTGTTTCTTGCCGAGGTG